TCTTATCATACTGAAAAGTGTGTTTTTCTAGGATATAGCCTTGCTCATAAAGGATATTTGTGTTTGGCCTCTACTGACAGATTGTATGTTGCTAAGCAAGTTAAGTTCAATGAGACAGATTTTCCATTCAAGAGTGATTTTGGTTCATTCACTTTGAATAGCTGCACTTCTCCAGTTGAGGTTAGTTTGAACACCACCAGTAAATGGATTCTACCCCAAAGTGTTTCTAATAGTATAGAATCTACTCCACCTACAGTCTCATCCAACTCTATTCCTACAGAACATTATTCCCAACTTGATGTAACACCTGAATGCAACTCTGTTCCAGAACCTGTCAAACCTGCTTGTTCACCTAATCTTGCTTCTGTATCATCAGTACAATCTGGTCAGCTTGATAAAACACCTATCAATCCAAACTCAACCTCTCTTGAATCAAATTTACCATGTTCTGGAATCAACCTGGAAGTAGTTCTTCCACTGCCCAATACCTCATCTTTAAACACACACCCTATGGTCACCAGATCAAAATCAAATGCTTGTCCTAATCCTGGTTCCATTGCTTATCAAGCTGAAGTTAAACACACTTCTATTCTTCCAGAACCTAAAACAGTTACTGAAGCATTGTTAAGCCCTGAGTGGAAACAAGCCATGGACTCTGAATATCAGGCATTGATGAGCAATAACACATGGGAGATTGTTCCTTATGAAGAAGGAATGAATGTTGTAGGGTGTAAATGGGTTTTTAGAACAAAGTTAAATTCTGATGGGACTCTTCAGAAGTATAAGGCCAGGTTGGTTGCTAAAGGCTTCCAACAAACACCTGGTTTAGATTACTTTGATACATTTTCTCCTGTTGTTAAAGCAGCCACAATCAGAGTGATGTTATCCTATGCAGTACATCAAAATTGGGAAATCCAGCAGTTGGATGTCAATAATGCGTTTCTGAATGGGGAGCTCTCTGAAACAGTCTTTATGCTTCCTCCTGAAGGGTATTCTGATACTGCAGCAACCAAGGGTCATTCTGTGCAGGTTTGTAAACTTCATAAAGCATTGTATGGCTTAAAACAAGCCCCTAGAGCTTGGTTTGACAAACTCAAAGCTGTATTGATTAATTGGGGCTTTGAAAACTCTGTTTCAGATGTAAGTTTATTTTTTTACAAAAAGGATTTCAAGCTAATGTATCTGTTAGTGTATGTAGATGATATCCTTGTAACAGGGAATGATTCTCAGCTCATATCCAGTTTGATTGCTGACCTGAACAGCAAATTTGCCCTAAAAACTCTTGGGACAGTGCAGTATTTCCTGGGTTTTGAGGTAAAGAGAAATGAGTCTGAATTGCTACTGTCCCAGACTAAATATGCACATGATCTGCTCTTAAAGGCAGGAATGGCAGACTCAAAGCCTTGCTCCACCCCCATGGCTACTGGTCTTCGACTTGGAAAGGAAGATAGTAAGGTGTTTGATCAGCCCACATTGTACAGAAGTGTCATTGGTGGCCTTCAGTATCTAACACTCTCTCGACCAGATTTAGCCTTTGCCGTAAACAAGCTCAGCCAGTTCTTGCAGCAGCCCACTGAAGCTCACTGGACAGCATGTAAAAGAATTCTCCGATATGTTAAGGGAACAATGCAGCATGGCATTCTCTTTACAAAGAAGCAGCCTTTTACTTTAGAAGCATTTTCAGATGCTGATTGGGCCGGAGATGAAACTGATCGGAGATCCACCAGTGGGTACACTGTTTTTCTTGGAGGCAACTTGGTCCAATGGTCTTCTAGAAAACAAAAGGTAGTGTCCTTATCATCTACAGAAGCTGAATACAGATCTTTGAGTCAAACAGCCACTGAACTTGTATGGATTCAGAACCTATTCAAGGAACTTGGCATTCACATAAATAACACTCCTGTTATATGGTGTGACAACATGAGTGCTGGGGCATTATCCTCCAATCCTGTTTTTCATGCCCGAACAAAGCACATCGAAATTGATGTGCATTTTGTTAGGGAATTAGTTACACGAAAACTGTTAAATGTGCAGTATGTTTCATCTGAATATCAGATAGCTGATGTTCTAACCAAAGCTCTCTCTTGTTCACGTTTTGCTATGCTAAGGGATAAGCTAACTGTCACATCTGAATTTGTAACAAAGTGATCACAGCAGCCAGGAGATATAGTTTGTGATGAAATAGAAATTTGCTCATGTAGCAGTTAGAGTTCACTTCTGAAGCAGTTGGAAATTTGCTGATTTTGTTTGATTGTAATGTAGTAGGAGCTATGGAATTTTGCAGTATATAGAAAAACAGTGCAGTGTGTGTAGAAGAATTTTGCTTCTACTGCAGTTGAAGCTTGTAGTGTTATAGAGCAGAAGTTTTTCTGTTTGAAATGTAGTGAAGTTAGTTTGTGCAGAAAAAGTTTGCTGAATGTATTGTTTGAAGCTTGTAGTGTTATAGAGCAGAAGTTTTGTTTGAAATGCAGTTGAAGTTAGTTTGTGCAGAAAAGTTTGCTGAATGTGTTGCTTGATTAAGTTTGAAATTTGGAATGTTTTTTGGGAGAATATTGGTTTGAAAAATGCAGCAGAAAGTTTATGTGCAGTTCACATGGTTGTGATATAGTTTGCAGTGTGTGTAGAAGTTTTTTGAAAGTGGAAGTATTTTTGCTTGTAATACAGTTGAAGTTTGCAGTGTTTACATGTTTGTGATATTTTGAAGTAGGAGATTTGTTGTTAATGCAGTTGAAGTTTGCATAGTTGAAGTTTGCAGTGTTTCTGCAGTTTCCATGTTTGTGATATAGTAAAAGTTTGCAGTAGGAGATATGGCTTGAAATCTCTGCAGCAGGAAATATGTCTGTGATATGGTTTGAAAATTGGAATAGGATGTTTATGTAGTCCTCATGTTTGAGACACCTCATAAGGAGCTTTGGCTTACGGGAAGATATTGATCATAGAAAGTTCAGCTGAGTTAGTTTAGAGGCTTTAGCTTACGGGAAGATATTGGAAACAAGTATAAGAAGCAGGGTTGTCTCTGCAAAGATTAGAAGTTAAGTAGGGTTGTTTTTGTAAAGAAATAAAACTATCACCACACGGTGCGTTTTGTTTGTTTTTGTATCAGACTATATAACGTCTTCTGTAACTAATATTGTATTAACTCAATTTTAATAATAGAACAAAACAGAGTCTTTCTTCTTTCTCTCTCAATTCATTCATTTTCGTTTATTTTCTTTTCAAGTCCGTCGCTAATCCTTCACACCCACTCAGCCTGGCACACCAAGTGAGTCACCTTCATACATGGAATTTTACTCAGGACTCGGTTCCATGAATCGAAGAGTTGGCATCTACATTGATACTCGTCTAGTCAGATAGGCAGATCGACTGAATACACATTCACATAGCAGTAACTACTCTTTAAGTTAAGTATTCCTTAACTTAGGAGTGGGGGGTAAACTGTTAGGGCCAAAAAATATCCTCAGCCTCAGTGGGCCAAAAAACAAAACGCCTTCAACGGAGCTCAGAGCCATGGCCCAATTCTGATTGGGCCCACAATAGAATTTACATAATGGGTCAGCTCATTACACCTACTAGGTTGCTTACAAATTGAGCCCAATCACTAAGCCCTTGATTCACTTAGGCCTCACCATCAATTTATCTGGACCCAGGCCCATTGATCCAAAATCACCTACTGAACCTAGGGTTTACTTAGACCCCAAGGCTACCTACTTCCTCGATAGTATCCAGATTCTCTTGAAAAGATCCATCTATATCCTAATTCATCAAAGATCCGAATCTTAGACTAAATAAGACTCTTTCCCCTATTAAGGCAAGTGAATTGAAGACTTTCCTGTTCATTAAACCTCAACCATATTATGGACTCATAGTCCTACTAGGATTCGAAGATCCTACGATTGATATATAAATTGAGGCCACCCTCTCACAATTCATTCAACATTACACCTTCAAACCTCCTAGTTCTCATCTTTGAGAGCTATACACCGTCGTCGTAGTTCTAGTCTTTAACTAAACTTTCGATAACCCTCTCTTTCCCTTACTCTCACTAAATTAGCTTTATTCAGCCTTACTGACTTGAGTGTCGAAGTACCTATGGCAAACACCACCCTGGTGTTTCTTGTTCACTTTACGCTTGTTTCTTTGTGTGCGCATGTGCAACGGATTGCTAGTCACTTCAACCTTGCGGGATCAAACCCCCCTTTCCATAACCGTAGATTTTACTGTCTACACTAATCAATTGAATTGATTGTCGCACTCATGCATAAAGACTCAATCATTGATGACACAGTTGAATTAATGTTGGGATTGTTAGAAACAAAAAACGAATTCAGCGACAGTCTTATAATTAATTAATTTAAAACTGGGGATTATATAATAAGCATTTGCATGCGAATTCAAACTTGAAAACGTGCAATATTCGCATTGCCATGAAGACTATTGAGAGAATCTTCAACGAGTTTCACCTGAACAAATTTAAAAGTTCATTTTTGAGTTTGGTAAATATGAGGTTTTGTATAGTCAATAGTTTCAGCTCCGTGGACAATTTTGATCTCAACATTAATTCAAATTTCTAAAGTTATGAATTTGGTCGGTCAGAGATTAGTTTGGATTATATTCTCGTGTTTTACTTTTTATTGTTCAAGCATGTGTAATGTGTTTGAGGTAAATAATCCTTTTTGGAAGAGATTAATGAGCTTGATATCCATCCAAGAGAATGTAATCGTTGTGCGTGATTTTCCTGCAGTCCGATTCGCGTTAGCTGTGCAGAGACCATGTCAAAATCGAGTGACCAAGATCACCCACTTGTAGCCTGATCAATAGATAACTCAACCGATAGAACATGATAAGAATTGCTCCTAACTTATTGGCTTTCGTTTAGTTTTAGTTTGTTTGTGGTTGATCGTGTAATGTGTTGTAGAGCATGTGGTTAGTTTTTTATTCCTTGTTCGTAGAGCTGAAAATGTATTTAAAGTTGTAAAATGCTATGAATAAAACAAGCCAATTTTATATCTGTTATTTATCAATTGAATAAGTCTATCTTTACAAAGACTTCTACAAAGAAGCCTACAAAGTGAAGAAAAAAACAAAGAAAAAGGGAAAAAGAGAAAGAGAGAGAGAGAGAGAAATTATGAAGATTAAGGGTGGGGGATTGTCTTTATATGCCTCACTTGTAGGCTTCTTTATAAGACTAGCATTGCTGTTATCAATTATGGAGCTATTACTGTCATAGATCAGAATTTTTTTTTCTTCATCTATCTATTCTCTTCAAACAATGTCTACCTCCTCTTCTCCACGATCAAATTCTTCACAGGCAACTCTAGATGCCTCTTTCCTAAATCGAATTCAGAATGTTCCTCCTCTCAATCAAACAGTACCTCCACCAAACGCAGGTAACACCACTGTGTTAGGTAATACTGCTGCTGTCCCTGGAACTATTATTAACCAGTGAGCTTATCAGTCCTTAAGTGCGATTGTTCACACTTAAGCATAGCAAAGATTATACGATGTAATACACCTCGTAATCTATCAACTCACTACATTATAGAAAAACTTTGTGATTGATTAAACTGATTACAGGGGTTCAACTATGAGGGGCAACCCATGGGTCGGCCTGAGGGAGAGCACAATCGAAGGCGCATGGCGATAATTTGGGGAGAGCTTCACAGAAAACCTCGATAGAATTTTGGTTAAAACAGCCTTATACTCCATCATGGCCAAGTTCCGAGCAACACACATTCTCCCTCCAAAACCAAAAGGCAAAAAACCCATCTTGTGTTTGCACCCACCGTATAATGGATCGTCCCCGAACCTCTCTGGCTTGAACTCATTCACGTCGTCGCCCCACAAAGTGGGATCATGATGCATGGCCACCACATCAATCCACAAATTGGTTCCTCTGGGAACCACCACGTCATCAACTTTAATATTTTGGCGCGCTTGCCTTTGCGCATTTGGTGCCGGTGAATATAGCCGTAGAACTTCATTCATCACCCATCCCATCTGCAACAAACGAACACATTAATTAGTAAAGATGAAATATTTATTCAATATAAACATCTCTAATTTATGGACGGAACAAGTACTTATAGAAACACTGAGAGATTGGATTTGGGCGGTAAGCAGTAGAAAATTATCTTGAGTTTGGTCTCCACGTGGACCAAACAGAGAACTCAACGGCTCAAGGGGCGGCCGCCGTTGATTTTTGTTTGGTTTGGCCGCTCAAAATTATTTTATTTTTATTTGTCGCCAAGTGAAGTGCGCGTGAAGCTGACACAAAAAAGTGCTATTTTGTACGCTATTTATATGACATTCATCTGACGTCATCGTTTTTAAGCCGGAACATCTCTTTATTCACGCGCTTCAACGCGTGGACTAAAACATAAGTATTTTTTTTTTTAGTGTTTTGACTTTTGATGACTGACTCCTTTAAATTATTTAATAATATTATTATTAATTTATTATATATTATTTTATATAATGACAACATTGGTGTTTCCCTTTTTGGTCAAAATACAGAATGACAAGTTTGTTGTTTTTTTTTTTTTTTTTTTTTTGTCATAAAATATCTGACGCATTATAGAATTGTATGATATTAAATAAATAATTGTATTAACCAAAATTAATTAGTGCCAGATGGTAAATTCTAGAAGGAAATATTGTTTTTGTGCATAACAGCATAAGCCCAGAGAGACCATGCATCTTTTGTATGTGGGTGACAAGTGACTCTTTTTTTAGGGTAAGACCTTAATATATCAATTTATTTTCAAATGCACCAAACGTGTTATGTATAATATATAGTATACTATTCTTTTTCCTAGAAAATTCACCTCAAGAAATTAATTCAGTGAGCAATATCATGTGATGAAAGCATAAATTACCTTCTTTAGTCCAGCAAGCAATTGGAAATCAATATCTTTATCTCCAATCACTTCTCTTATCTCCTCTCTCAACTGGTTTTGCCACTCTGGATTGATTGCCAAAAGCATCAAAGTCCACGACAATGCCAAAGCTGTCGTTTCTTGACCGCCGAAGAAGAAAGTCTTGCACTGATCGATCAGTTCCCTTTCCGTTAATCTCTTCCCTTTCCGGTCTTCCACATCGTTTGCTTCCAGCAATAGTCCCAATAAGTCTTTCGAAGGGTGCCCGTTATTACCAGCTTTCTTTCGGGCAGTTATGATCGATTGAAGAAGACTATCTATTTCTTTTCCAAGTTTTATGGCCTCCAAGTTTTGCATAGGGTTCATAAAACTGCTGAAAGGGACACCCACATAGCGGTTGTACTTGAAAAGTGCAACCTGCATGTCGGTTAATTTTTTTAATACTTCTCTTCCATTTTCGTAGCTTATGCCGAAGCTGGTTTTTGCTATGATTTCACCGGCCGTTGCTATAATTTCTCTCTCCACGTCGATTTCTGGGTTCCCAGAATTTGTGAGGCTACTCCACTTGTCTAGCATTTTAGAGGTGGACTCCACCATTAAACTTGCCATAGCCTATTGGACAAGCAACATAAATTAAGCAATATTACTGATAAAGAACATTATGGCTAAGATCTATGTCATTACATCAAATGAAAGATATATGTAATGGATTATAGTTTGACTCTTGCAACAAAGTGCAATTTTTATAGCCTAACTTTAAGATTATAGAGTAGATAAATTATTAAATATTAAAATTTTATATGGAAATTGTGATCAAGTAGAGATTTGCGTCTTCAGTCGTATATATGGTCACAAGTCAAGAGTTTGAAATCGCATGGTGAAATTCATATTTCGCTATGAAGAATGGTCTTTTCAACTTAAAAAAAGCATATATAAAGTAAGATTTTTTTTTTTGGGGGGGGGGGTGGGGTGGGTGCATATTTGTATTAATTTGTATGAGATAGAAAGAGAGAGAAAGAGACCTTCAAGTTGGAGGAAGAGAATGCAGGTGTGATTACATGCCGAAGACGAACCCATTCATCACCTTCAACCATGATTAACCCGTCACCAAACATGGGTTTTCTGTCATATTTAAATACGTTTGGTTTTCCCCAACTCTTTCCCATAACCCCTGAAGACGATTTCTTAAGAAACTCTGGATCTGCAATGCGTAAAAATGGCTCTGTACCCAGCCAGTAGATGAACACTTTGCCTGCAAAATTTATAAAGTACTCATGATCAATACACGCATATACGTACGTTCAAAAGATTAACAAAACTTGTACAAACTGATTGCACAAATTTGTAAAGATCCATTAGGGTTTTGTTATTATATGACTTACCATAAGACTGTTGCCATCGAGCAAAGTAAGGAAAAAGAGATGAGTGTATATCATGAGAGATAGTTGAAGACGACCCAAGTGATGAAGAATCACTTTTCGTCTTCTTCTTCATCATCTCACTGATATTCCCAAAAGGAAATTTTGGAGTCGGGCCTCGAAGCCCACTCGTTTTAATCTTATGATATGCTAAAATAGGCAAAATCCAGCAAGAAAGCAACACTCTCAAGAACATGAATAAAAGAAACACCATTAATGCTAAGTTAAACACAGAAGATAACAGAAGCAAAGCCATAGATTCTCTCTCTCTCTCTCTCTTTTTCTTTCTCTTTCTCTCTCAAAACACTAGCTTTTATATATCTTTTTTGTATTTTGGTTGATATAAAAACTGCGAGATCAAATGGGTATTTATAGGAGGAGATTGGCCTGGTTCAAGAATGTCGGAGTTTTGACTACGACAAGTACCTATTTGAAAATACGTTTTGAAACCCTTTTCAACTCCGTAAAGATTAACTTTATTAAATTGTTTTTATGCTACAGTATCTTAATCTTAATCTTGTTCGGTTAATGGTATATTTATACAATTCTTTTATACTATTGTCTTTACGTCATGATGTGATATATGTCACAATTATATTAATTTTATTATAATATTAAAAATTAAAAATAATTAAAATTTTATAAATTATAACATATATTACATTATTATGTAATAAAAAATATATAAAAGAGTGATATAAATATAACATTACTTCATTTTATTTTTATTTTTATAATTTATTTAATTTTGTTATATTATAAAGTATGTTGCTTTTGGTTTTTGATGTCAAACGGCTAGCGGTTTGGCTTTTATACAGCTAGCTGGTAGCGCGCGCTTAAGACAACAAAATTATATTATTTTACAGTGTGGACGGCGCCTGGACGTTTCCAAAGGGTTCAACCAATGGATGAGCTCACGTTGGATATTTTGACTGGTGTTTAGCTGACTTCCACGTGGATTATGAGAAACCAGTGATTTCTCCGAATGTTAATCAGCCAATCAGAAAATATATTAAACATAATTAGTAACATGTACCCTTTTTCATGTGTGGAAACTGAGAAAACCTTCTATTTTCGTGTGCAATGAGCTCATGGAATCTACTATATTGGAATATTGACTTGTAAAATTCTAATACAAGAATATATATATATATATTTTCAAACCTAAAGTCAATTTCAGTCTTTGATAGAATTAAAAAACATGTGAAACCATGCATGCATATCCACACACACAAAGAGGAAATAAAGTTAAATGTGATAACACCATTAAATTCTTCTTCCCAGATTAAATATTTAATTCATCAAATTTCAGTAAAATTAAGCTTTAATAAACAATTTAATTATTGTTTAAAACTTGATCCAGTGAGAATGGTAATGCGCTTCATAACCTGAATACAGCAAGCTGTAAAAAAAAAAACAGTGGAGGGATGGAGATGAGACAGAGACACCTTTGCATGAAAGTAGTAAGTAGTAATGTGAAATTCATTATCAATATAGTAAGAAATAAATAAAAATAAAAAGGGTTGTTTTAGATGTGTTTCACGTAAAAGGTAAAGTAGTTGGCATAAGCCTGTAAGACATAAGTGTTAGCCATAAAAATTATAAGGCTACTTCCCAACGCAGTCGTTTTTCAATAAAGTAGTTCAATAAGAACTACACGTCGTCGTTTGGTGTAATTGTAATGAATAGTTAAGTGTCAGTCACTGTACTCACTNAAAAAAAAAAAAAAAAAAAGTTTCGATTGGAAAGAGAAGAAAGAAGGAACTTTCATCATTTAATTATCGTAGTTTTTAATATTTGATTAAACGATAAAAAAATCGAGGTTTCTAAGATAATATAAATTTTGTTACCATTAAATTTTAGGTTTTAAAATAAACAACAGGAGGTTAATTCACTAAATATTCATTAACTTATAATAGTATATGTTATGCCTAAAAATCAGGGCTAACGTGGACTCTCGTCAGCAAAAGCCAAACAGAATTCAAGGAGGCTTTGTGCCGTCCAGACGTTGTCATGTCGCGCAATGACAGAAGAGGTATGGTTCTTGTCAGTGCAGCAGGTGAATGTCATGCTTGCGAGTGGCTAGGGATCGTCCACCTGCCCAAACCTTATGCAATTTGAGGATATCTCTCGTGCAAGCAACCAATGGGATGCAAAGAAGGACTTCTACGACACCTATACACTTGCAGACTTGCAATCATTACTTTGAATTTTCCCACTATAAATAGAGAGCTCTTCTCTCATTTACGGGATTGGCTTATCTTAGTCTAAAACAGTATACTCTCTCTCTCTCTCTCTCTCTCTCTCTCTCTCTCTCTCTCTCTCTCTCTCTCTCTCTCTCTCTCTCTCTCTCTCTCTCTCTCTCTCTCTCTCTCTGTGTGCATATTTGGGTGGTGAAAGGTTATATTTTGATGGTTAAGATTGATCAGAATTTGATTTGGGAAGAGTGACTACTCAAACCCTAATCACTTGATTGTCAGTGATTGATGGGGTCAGCGGAAGTAAGGTTTGAGATGTTTTGGTGAGTGATGATCGGAAAAGTGAATAGTGATGGCGTAGGGTCGCAACTCGCAATGATGCCGATATAAAAAACGGAATACAAATTTGAATAGTAAATTGGTATTTTAAAAGTCTATAGATGGAAAAAGTGTTATTAAACCATTATTTGGGTGGGAAAAAGTCGTTTACTCTTTATAATATCATAATCAAACTTGTCTTCGTAAAGATTTTATAAATTTTATCTGTACATTGAAACTCAAAATTTAATTAAAAAAATTCTTTTTTCCTTTCTTTCCATTAATTGATGTGTTAAATATTTTTTTTTCTCTCCTCTCACTCGGTCTATACTTTCAACTAATTAAAGATGGAATTTAGTTAGTTCTTCACCATGTCACCAAAAACTCTAAAAGTGTTAGGAATACGATGGATTCTTTATAAGATATTTAATATCATCATACTAATGAACATTTTTTTTTTTTAATTTATCTTGGGAGTTTTGAGATGAATAGACGAATATTGTATGAGTAATACTACACTTACAAAGAAATCTTACAAAGATTCTCATACAAAGTGATGTGGCAAAAAATGAATGGAAAAATGATTATAATAAATTTGAGTTTTTTTTTCACTCTTCCATTCATTTTTTGCCACCTCATTTTGTATGAAAATCTTTGTAAGATTTCTTTGTAAATATAGTATTATTGATATTCTATTGATGTAGTTCTCATCATGGATTTACTATGTTCATCAAAGTATTTGTACATTGATCACCACTAGATTGTCTAATAGTAAAAAAGTAAAAGGAAGTGCTATGAGTTCTTGACTTTGAGTCTCCAGGCACTAATAGAAATGGCTATTTAAACTCTTATTTGATCAATAGTTTTAAATTCTCGATAGATTAGTTAAAGTGTGTGCAAGCTAACCTGAACACCTGTAATGATTAAAAAAAAAAAAAAAAAAAGGGTATTTGTACATATCAAATAAAAATATCAAAACCTAAAATTTACATGGAAAAATAAATGTTGACTCTATGCAATAACTTGGAACATAGGTAATTAATATATACATTCTCTCTCTCTCTCTCTCTCTCTCTCTCTCTCTCTCTCTCTCTGTGTGCATATTTTAAAATTTTAATTTATGAGAGTCTCCATATAATAATTGGCATGTCATATTAAATTTGATAAAGATATATATATTTTAGGAAAAAGAAATAATAAAAAAGTATGAGAATCTGTCTTTGGAGAAAACAATTCACTGGGGGATGATTCTCCAAATAATATTGAAGCCCTTAATTGTCTGAAATTAAAATTGCCTTTAACTGTCGGCTACAACAAAGACCATTACTATAAGATCATGAATATAAACTACTCAAAGAAAAAAAAAAAAAAAAAATCTTCAAAATGCGAAAATTGTCCGGAAGAAAATCAGGTGAGCGGAATAAATGTATATATGTACGTAAAAGAAAATCTTGTTATAGTAAATACATTTAATAAGATAACAAATACAAACTCCATCTTTATATTAAAAGAAAAATGCAGTCCTTGTTAATTAAGAACAATAATTCTCTTTGAAGCTAACAATCGTGCATAGCTGAAAAGAAATAAAGAGTAATAAATTTTTTTTTCACTACTCCATCCATATACTCTTCATTTGGTCATAATCAATTATGTTCTTGTTCTTGTGTGAAATCTGTGCTTGAAAAGAATCAAGAGAGTACTCTCCACTAATTGTCAATCTTTGAATCCCGAAAATTTCGCAGCAGTCTTTCATTTCAAACAATATATTATAAGTGGTACAAACCATAATTACAGAAAGAAAATATAGAGAGAGGGCAGTTGCCGTCCAATTAGCTGATAAAGTACTTCTAGAAAAGTTGATCTTATTCAGGTTTTTCAACTTTATATTTCGTTAAGTTTAACATGTCGTGAAGGTTTTGTATGCTTGTAATTTCTGTATATGAAGTGGACACTCACTTAGATCGAGCTGGAATGAAAGGATTCAGAACTTAATTGTGCACTAGAATTAGAAATATATTAACAGCTCATTTGTTTGTGTTGATTCACTGGAATCGTATCATCACTTTAATTTTCACATTACAAACGTGGAAGTGTCAAATGTCATGTGGCAAGTAATTTCTTGAGTAGTTGATCAGTTGCAATGTTAAGTTGAAATTTAGATAGTAGTTCACTGAATTCGGACCTTTTCTTAAATTTCATATTATAATGTAGAGTTTATTCTTATTTATAACTATCTTAAGATGGAATTAGAATTTTTTATAACTATAAAAATGTTATTCCTATATATAAGTTATTACTATAGAGAGGTTTTATTTTAATATATACAAATATATAATCAATTAATTTTGGGGGTTTTCTGTATATTTTTCCAAAGAAGTAATTTGTCCATTAGCTATTATAGTAATATATAGCTGACCCGATGTTCTTTTTATTGATCATATTTGATTCATGGGAATAATAGTAAGGAAAAATAATATCAAAATATACTTTATAATATATAACATATGGAAAACAATTATATATATAATTCTTACTGGCACGTAATTATAATACGTCCTTTAACACGGCAACAAATACATCAAGTTAATTCATAAAAACATTTATTCTTCTTTTTCTTTCTCTAATATTTTCTCCTTTTATTACTTCATCTAGCCAAACAATTATACAGGAAGATAATGCACATACTATCTCTCTTCCATTTTAATTTCCTTTACCCAAATTTTTTTTCTTGTGAAAAAAGAAACAAAACAAGGACACCTCTAATCATTTTGGTAAAATTTAGTTCCTAATGCA